CCAAATCTCATAAGTGATTTTCTTTTCTTATCACCCAGCAACGGTGTCCCATCCTGCCCCTGTCACTCCTTAGAACCAATGCACCACTGTTACTACGACGGACTCTATGAATTTCATGACAAACAGACGGACGCACACATGAAGACTTCATATCCCGGGGATGGCCAGGGCGTGGCTGCGCGCTTCATTCAAGATGGCGGCAACGTGGGATGCACTTCTTTCGGAATGTCTCCACTTCACACAACCGTCGTCCGATGCCGTTCTGTACAAAAACCTTACTACAATTGTACCAAAGCGGCAACATCCCACCGGAAGCGCAGCCACCACTTCTCGTCTCCGGAGTATGGACTTTCTTAACACACTGTCTATAGCAGAGTTATCGCTGCAAGCGAGAGGGCGTAAAGGGTCAGGGGTGCAGCTTGGAGCTAGCTATGGAAACCTTTTCCACCAAGTTGCCGGTTCAGGACGGTATCTGTTGGTGGAAAGGCTGCCAATGCTGTGCTTCATTCCACACCCCCTCATGTGCCCGGTCGTCCGCAGGGATAATGACTGTATGGTAGAATGCTGGCGCTCTATGGCTAACGAGAAGCGTTCACTTGGACCCAGTCGACTTAAGCGGAAGTAATGCAATAAAATGAGCCAGCTAGCTAGGAAATCTGTTAGTTTTTGTAGTGATGATCCATGCAACGATCGGGCGTCTGACGCGGCGCGGCTGGGAGCGCAGCCCGAGCGGCCTTGTTCCAACAACCATGTAATCTTGAGTCCGTTACAACTGGCTGAAAGTCTGATCTAGCTGCCCTCCAAGCCACGCAGCCGTTCTGCGCCATATAGTTTACGGAGATATTGACTGTATGCATTGAGGGCTTCTTACAGTACACTTGTCGAACAACCTCTCATGAGGTCAACGAATTGAGGAATGATCAGATTACTGTGACGGAAGTGATCTGCCTAGTATAAAAGGCAACCCTAGCGGTCGGTTGGACATTTTCAGTTGTTCCACCGCCGCCAACCGTTGATCGTGGGGTCATGTCGCAACCCGCTGGCGGTACCGTGGACTACTCGGCATTTCTCAAAAGGCATCTCAAAATGAGTAACGTTCTCAACGATCGACACGTAAGTCAGCTTGGTCGGGCTTGTCTTACACTACTGTTGTAGCTTGCATCAAGAGCGAATTCTTGACGGCTCAGTCTAAACTGATCGTATGGGCGGAGACAGTCCTCTGAAGTGCCTTCCTAATTGGCTTTTTCTCCTCTACCATTTCACAAGGAGAAGCTCACCAACAAGGAAGATTCAGTGGTTTACTGTGTCTGCTTGATCAGCATGAACTCTGCGGTGCCTAGGTGAAAAACGCAGGGTACAAAGACGCTCCAGCTTGCGTTACGAAAGTGTTTATAGATCAAGTATACGGCTGAGGAACTGAAGGATGTAATAAAGTGCAGTATGGAATTGTTGAAACTGGAGAACACTCTAGCAGAGATTAATCCACCGATAGTGATCGTAGGAGACATTCATGGTCAGGTGAGAAGTTGTAGAGAGTAACGTTCTGATATCGCAACAAAGCTGTACAAGCTCCGGAGATTGCAACGGTGAGGCATTAGGTAGCGTTCTTAGAAACTCCCTTTATCCTGGTTTTCGTAAATGAACTCAGTGTGGTTTCAGCTACTTGGTAAACTGACTGCATTGCTCACTTCAATAAAGAAGTAGTATAAAGAACGTTCCGCATTGCGAGCAGGCGGAGCAATGGAAGGCTTGTTGCACGCTCTTTTTGATTGGGTTGCCATGATGGTAGTTCGCTGCACTGTCACCGCTCCATGAGCGTGAATAGAAAGCTTTATACGTTGAAGGCTGACTGAAATCAACGCGACGGGACAAAGTGTGAGTCCTCACATACGGCCCCGCCAGCCATACCGAACTAGTGTATCCATATATAAAAATGCGAGATCTGCTTTTCGACGGCGCAAGCGAGTCGGTGATCGATATTCACTATGTTCAAGAATACTAGTCTTATCGAAAGCGGATCTAATATCGTTGCGACGACATTGTTAATACATACCTGAAGAGGTGAGATCGCACCTCACCTCGCGACATGGCGAGGGATCTGATGAGTAAGTATTAATCGGTGTTCTCGCCATATTAGTACCCCTCCAGCAGCAGTTATACGCCTGAATCTGTGAAGCTGTCTTATGTAAGACTGAGTCATATGTGGCCAAAGCCCTTCTTTTCTAACCCACGTAGTTGAAGCTGGGCGTGTCCGTCCCTTTTCCTAAAACGAAGGCTCAGCCTTTAGGGGCATACCACCAGAGTCGCATTTAGCAGCTGTCCGTTTGCGCTGAGCAGAAGAGCAGGGGCTTAAGCGACGCGCTGAACGACTTTTAGCTGCACCTATCTGTTTTTTTCTATGTGTCTGTAGCTCCGGGAGTCCTTCATCTGAGGGTAGAAAGACGCAGACGGCTCTGGTTAACCCTCCGCTGACTATGCCAGTAGCTCGCGAATACATCTTCAATACATTTCATCCCACGCTGCCATTGATTAGCGTTGCGTGTGCCCAGCTTTAATCGTTGTGACCGTGGACGAAGTTTCCTCGGTTCAAATTGTAGGCGACAAGAAGAAGGGCTGCATGCGCGGTGAGAGTTCAGACAAACGAGAAGCAAAGGAGAAGAGCTAAGCAAGCTAATACGCAGCCGTTACCGGGTCGTCCCTTCCCGCCCTTCATTGTGAACAATTGTTAATCATTTGCTGGTACTTCATCAATAAGGTTGAAATAAGAGGCACATAAGGAAGGACCACTGGTTTTGTCCGCCCCATTCCTGCGCCCATGCAGTCCTGCTGTTTTCCGTCCGAGGGAGGGCGCATCGATCTACTGCAATCCTTCTTGAGGACAGCGAACCACAACGGCAGGGATAGCTGAGCGATTGATAGTGTAGTCTCTATGAACTCTGAGCGGCGAATTTGATCCCTGCTGAGGCCCAGAGTATGCCTGCCTGCAAAAATTGCAAAAATGGTGACGATACAGCATCAGGCTCAGGTTGACAGGTCCGTTGGTGGAGAACCCTGTGTCAAAAAAATTATTAGAAGTCGCTAAAGTCTCAGTGTTGGTGTCAGGACCTGACCTAGTGGCGCGCAGAACGGTCGCTGGAGTTCGTGGTCAGTTTGCTAGGGGTACCGAGGGGTGAGCGACCTCGGCCAAAGAAGCTAGTTCCAGTTGGGCTCCGAACCTGGGATCGCACACCGGGATTACTTGAGAGATCGCTGATCTCATGAGATGGAGGAACATCCAAGTTCTATGCTTTCAAGGAACGCCCAAATGAAGGAGCCAAGGCGCCCACAAAATTGGAGAAGAAGTCAAGCTCTTCCACAAAGAAGATTATACCAGAACCGCCAAAACGGCGGCTCATTGTGGTGGTGCAGAAATCTCGAGAGAGTGCGGCTCTACCCTTAACGGCGAATCACTGATCGATTCGCGGTTGGGCATTTGAGAATAGACCACGAAGGAGCTGAAATTTTCATGTGACCGGCTGTACGCCCACCACAATGCCGAATTGCTCAGCAGGCAACTAAGAATAAGCTTCTGCCATGACCTGCGAGTCTTAAACCGATTCCGAAGGGTGACTGGCTCATCATAGCTGGTGATTTGAATGGCGGTGAAGTGATAGAAGATGCCTAGGAAGGAGGCACGGAAGCTGAGAAGTAGGAGCAAGAGACCAGGTCTAAGTCGCTAAGTTGTGGCCTTAGGGAGTCGCAGTATACAACTTAGCGACCTGTTCCTTCTCGCAAAAAGTAAGACCCAGAAGATGACCAACAGCAGTGGAGGGAGACAAGCATTAATAGATCGTGTGTTGGTTAGAAGATTGCCACTCAGTACCGTTAAGGATATCAAGGTACTGCTTGGGGAGGATATGGACAGGTTCTTCCTGAGACATATCGCCGTAGATCCCCTTAAGAAAACAAGTGTGAGAACCGAGACTAATCTTGCTTGAAGACTGCTGGTGGCTGGACACTCAGACCCATCGGATCTGGATTACCACAGCATAGATTCTATGCTGTGCAAAGGACATAGCGGGAGAGACGCGAGGTGGTACCAGAGGAGTCAAGGTTCTGGAACATGGAAGCATAGCGGATCTTCAGTCAGGAGAAAGAAGCGTACAAATGCTGACAAGAGACTGGGAGCTTACCAGGGATGGTCAACAGTTTGCCATGGCCATTCAAGATGAAATGCATATCGACGTGTACGTCTCGGGACGTTGATGCGTAGCTCAAGTCAAGTTCGAGTACAGACAGACTCAAGTGGTCGATGGTGTAGTGGATAGGTAAGTTGCTTCATAGATGGGAGGTCATGGGTTCGATTCCTTGACAGGTCCGGATTTTTGCATTTTTTCGGAACATCTTCTGCGAGTTCAGAAAATACTTTTATCCGTTATTTTGTCAAGCTTGCTCTTACTTGCAGCAGGAAAAGAAGGAGCCGGCAATCTTGCTCGCTTTCAACACTTATGAAAACTTACGAAAAAGGGGTAATGTGATTGCACAACCTGCGTCTGCACCCTCCCCTGAGATGAGGGCCCTTTCTCTGCAGGCTGAACCTCAGCAAAGGGAAGGATTTCTATGACAGGCAACCAGGAAGAGTGGTGCGTTACTTCGGCCAGTTTGCCCAACTGCCCTAGCACAGAGCCCCGCACGAAAGCGACTGGAGTCTGTGCTACAGTCGGAGTCGGAACAAACATGGGATGCTTGTGGCGTATTCGTCAGGCGGTTTTAGGCTGTACGGATGTGATATTCGTGTTTAGGGGGTCAAACTACCCCAGTTGACAAGTTTTCAGCGAACTTGGTGATTTAGGGTATTTTGGCGCTGGCGCCTGTGGCACGGGTGCTAGGAGGTTTCGTGCCGAGCGGATGTGATAATCATGTTCAGAAGGGCAGACTACCCTAGTAGGCAACTTTTCAGCCAATTCTGCTTATAAGAAAAAAATCCGTAATAAAAGATGGGATCTATTCCGGGTGATTCGATCAGTATGACGGTAAGCATGCGTCAAAAGTTTAAGCAAAGCAACAATTTGCCGGCACCTAAGCTATCTGCCTTGCTGGCAAGTAACAGCAAGGTTTTGAAACAAAGCAAACGGATTAAATAGTATTTTCCGCACTCGAAAGAGGATGTTCCGAAAAAATGGCAAAATTCCGGGCCTGTCAACTAATCCACCTAGAAGAAACCATGACCTCCTGTCTATGAAGCAAATTACCTATCCACACCATCGACCACTTGAGACTTCTGTAAGCTCCAAGTTAAACTTGAGGCATCGAAGAGAGACGAGCGGCTGCTATGCCCTGAGCTACGCAAAGGAGGATCGGCGAGTGCTATGCTAGAACACCCCCCCCCACTCCTCATAGAGAATCGTTCGGCAAATTTTGGAAGCAGATTTGAGTTCAGCGTCCCGAGACGTACACGTCGATATGCATCTTGAATGGCCATGGCGACCTGTTGACCTTCCCTGGTTAGAGGACCCCGCTGCCTCCAAGAACTGTGATCGACCAGCTATGGCAGCCCCGGCATCGCGTTACTCAACAGATCAGGGTGGGAAAAACAGCGAAGAGCTGCAGCGATGCCTTTTAAGAAAACCAGCTGAAGTCAGAAGGAGGTGGGAAGAAAAGTGTACCGATACACTTCTGTGAAGGATTTCCCCAGCAAAGACAGTCCGCGGATGGAGGCAACGGCAGGTCGTATCACACCTGGACAGAGGATGAAGCCCGCCGAGAGTTAGAAGGAATGAATGTTGGAAAGGCAGTGGTCCGTATGGGTACTCATAGAGGCATGGAAGGCTATCGGAGAGCATGGGGTAAATTGGCTTAGGCTGCGTTCATACCGTGCGACGGCGTCGTCAACGTCGACGTAACCGACGAAAGCGACGTAACCGACGTAACCGACGACTAGTTCCCGAAGATTGTATACGTATCGATCCGACGTAACGGACGAAACCGACGAAAGCGACGACTACTTCACGAAGATTACATACCTATCGATTCGACGAACGAAACCGACGTTT